TAATACGTATATTTTTTTTTTAAGTATTTACATTTTTTTTTTTTTTTTTTTACGTTTTATTGTTTACGGTATTTCGCGTATGTGTCCTTATAAATCTACAATTTACTAGCTATTTAACAATTTATCATTATGCCTGTAATACTTTGGCTATACATGTAATTGTTTATGTTATTTCTCTTGTTACATTTATTAGCGTGTAATTAGCCAGTGATGTAATATAACATTGGGTGTTAACTGTGGCATACATTAGTAATTATCTATGCTATTTTTTTTTTGTTATTATTATAGCTGTGCTATTTGCTGGTAGAGCAATGTATCATTTTATATTAGCTTAGCTAGCTTAACTCATAATTATATATGCTATTTGTTTTGTTACAATATAAATATGATATTAGCTAGTTTTATTTCTATAAATACATACAGCATGCTTAATTATTAACGTGACGTTCTTACATATTTATTATCTTACATCATACTCCCTACTTAATTCTTTTTTAAATCTTTTAATTATATACTTTGGAACCATTTTCTTTTAGTACCTTTTTTCGTGCACCACTCGGCAAATCCGAGGAAATGAATGCGACTGTCATTGTCGTTGATTGCCTTTGTTAGAGTATCTTCATTGAGCGCAAAACCCATGCAGCGTTCGCAATCAAATCTTCTTACTACATATTTGGGACAATCGATTAATATGTGCTCTATAGTTTGCGGTGTAGTTTGATCGCAATCACAACATGGACTTTGCGCTAACTTAAACTTATGCAAATACGCTTTAAATCCTCCATGGCCGGTAAAAATCTGACATCGTAGGTTATTAATATGAACTTTCATCATGGTCTTATACGCCTCAGTTACTGATGGGAAGAATTTCTTCGTCACTCGTCCGGTTTCCGATGTGGTGTAACGTTCTTGCCAGTTTTGCAAAGTGTTGTCCCTGATAAGGCGCTTTGCGAATGATAGGGGGAAGCAGTCGAATGCTGGTTTTTGCTTAGAGGTTTCAGCAGCTGATTTGGCTAGTTCGTCAGCCCTTTCGTTTCCTGGAATCCCGCAATGTGCCTTTATCCAGAAAAATCTCACTTCACCTTGATTTCTTTTTATTTCTAATATCCGATCCAAGATTTCTACTGCAAGAGGGTGTAGGGTATTAGGGTTCGTTAGACATTCGAGTGCGGATTGAGAGTCACTTAAGATGTTCGCTTTCCTGAGTGTGTGTTTGCTTTGTATCACTTCTGTGGCTTTCAAAATGGCAGCTAATTCTGCTTGATACACACTACAGTGGTTTCCTAGTTTCAATCTTGCTTTGTATATTTCCCGGCCTTCCTTCCAACAGGTAATGGCAGCGCCAACTCTACCAGCTATTTTGCTGCCATCCGTGTAGATACAAGGCCATTCATTTTCCATAGATTTTAATTCGTGTACGGTTGTGATTGAATTGTATGATAGCTTTTGTCGTTCTGCTGGGTGAGGTAGAGTGTATGGGCTAACAGGTTTCGCTAGCTCCCTGCCGGGTAATTGCGGAAGTGGTTTCCCTATTTTTATTTTGTACAGTTCAGCATTTTCTTTTGCTCTTAAATCCAGGGGAAGGATTCTGGCTAATGTGACACAAGAGACCATGGAGGATGTGCGGTGTGCTTTGCTTATCATGATGCTAAATGTCCTGGTTATTCTGTTGAGCCTAGTCTTTATTTGCTTTTTATCTGCTACAGACCCCCAGGCCCCTGCAGCATAAAGGACTGTAGGTTCAACTACAGTAATATAAATTGTCCTGAGAATTTCTGTGTTAAGTCCCCAGTTCGCTCTCGCTGTTCTTGCCACCTTTTTGTAAAGCTGTATCGCCTTTTCTGAAGTTCTATCTACGTGTTTTATGAAATTAAGATTGACGTCTATTGTGAGTCCGAGAATCGTGACACTATCAGTAAATTTTATTTCGATGTTGTCGAGTGTTAGTTTTGGGTTCTCGAATTTCCTCTTTTTAGTTACTACAATGGCCTGAGTTTTATGGGCTGCCAGTTTCATTTTACGCAGCTTGCCCCACATTAGTATATGGTTTAAAATCGGGTTAAGCTCATTCTCGATCTCTTTTTGCTGTTTTCCCTTTGGATATTAACATAATGTCGTCCGCGTATGCCTGAATATGTGTTCCTTTTTCCTCAATTTCTCTTAGTAGTGGGTCTAGTAGTAAATTCCAAAGAAGTGGTCCGCAGGTAGAGCCCTGTATACATCCCTTATTGGTTTGCCTAATAATTTCGTTACCTGCGTACGTAAGTTTTATAAGCCTGTTAGAGAGATAACTACTTATTAATCTGCATATGGATTTATCTACTTTTTTGTTTTCAAGCTCGTTGATCATGGCGGGCCACCAGGCGTTATCGAAGGCACCTTCAATATCTATGGAGACGACTACAACTATTTCCTTGTTATTTATGCCCTGCTTTATAAACTCTAGCGCATCGTATAAAGCGTCTTCGGTACCTCTCTGCGCAACGAACCCGTACTGTCGACTACTCATTCTGTTCTCCGATCCCAGCTGCCACGACAGACGATTGACGAACAGCTTTTCCAAGACCTTTCCCAGAACGGGAAGAAGTCCTATAGGTCTATATGACTTAGGAAGGGTGTAATCCTCTTTGTTTGCTTTTGGGATAACTCTGATTACTGCTCTTTTCCAAGCTCCTGGGAAGTATCCGATTCCCAAGCATCTGTTGAAGATAGCTAGGAGAACCGTAGGAGTGGCCATAAAGGCTTTGTAGCAGATATCTGCAGTTAAACCATCCTCTCCCCGGTGATTTCTTTGGACTCATGGTTTTGAAAATCAGTTGTAGTTCAGTATTTGTGAATTCTATTATAGAGTCTTTATTGTTGCCCCATTCCTTCCTTTGTGTTTCAGCATTACGTCTAATTTCAGCATGTGTTTGTTCGTCAGATTCAGTGTCGTCCGTTGGGTAGAAGGTTTCGGATAATAGCTCTGCTGATTCTGCTGGGGTCTTTATTGTACCGTTCGGCGTCTTCCTTAACAGAGTATCTTCTGATTTCTTGTTGGATTTACGTATGACCCTGTATATGCCCTGCCACATGCTCTCCCGATCTTGCCTACTGCAGAATTCTTTCCAACTTGATGTGATTGTTTCAGTGAGAAGATTTTTATATTCTGTTTTAGCCTGTATATATTCGTCAATTATTGTTTGTTTTCTATTTTTATTTGCGAATCTGACCCTTCTCCTTTTCCGAATAACCTCTTTTTTCTTCTCGTCTAGTTCCTTAGTCCACCATGGTGTTTTAGTAGATATCCTTTTAGGTAATTTAGGGATAGATTTGTCGCAAGAATTTTGAATGCATTTAACATACTGGGTGACTAGGTTCTCTAAAGCGTGTGTGCTTGGTGTGTTTCTGACTTCTTCCTCGGTGATATTGTAAATTTCCAGTTCCGCTTTCAGATTAGAGGCAAAGTCTGTCCAGTTAGCCTTACTTGTATTGTATATACGCGTAGATTTCCTTTGAATGCCTTCTTCTGGTGAATTGTCAACTTTTATATTGTATGTAATTGTCCTGTGGTCTGAAAGCGTGACAAAATCTGGATTGACAATCCAATTGGTTATTTTATGTAGTAGGCTGCTTGAACACGCGGTTATGTCTACGATGCTAGTGTAGTCTTTATTTGCTCTGCGCGCCCAGAAAGTGGGTGTCCTTCCTACATTCAGTATGTGTAGTTCAAGCTGGGCTAACGCTTCCGAAACGGCTGTGCCCCGTCTATCCTCCACGTTGCAACCCCACCAGGGACTCTTTGCATTGATGTCCCCTCCTAGTATAACGTGCTTCGTATTTAGGATGTTTAGGAATTTTGCTATCTTCCTTATGTCTTCCTCGACGTCTTGGTTTCCTTCCATATATGTGTTTACAATTGAGATTTCAAAATCTTTTATTTTAAATTTTAATGCAACAATATTTTCCGTTATTGTTTCTGGATTAACAATTAATTGTATATTTGGGTCAACGACAATGACAGCCGATTTGACGGGTTTTTGGATGTCGCTGGTATGTTTTTGTATAACTCTATATTTGCAGTTAACATGTGCTTTGGCCCCTACATAGGGTTCTTGGGTTAGTATGATCGATACCTTTTGAGTTTCAGCCGCTTGCAAGCATTCCTGGAACGCTGCGTATCCTCTACCAAGGTTGATTTGTGCGATTTTAATTGTGCTGTCCTTTACGCATGAAGTCCTATGTGGGAGGGAATCGGTGTCTTTAGCAATATGTGACAGTTGATCTAGCTATCCGATCCCATTTTCTCCACTCTAGGCATTCAGGGCTGTATGCAGGGTGAGCACAATTAATTTCGCTACGCTTTTTATCTATGCAGTTTATGCACTTGGGTGCTTTGTTTCTGTTATGGCACTCCCTTGTGTCGTGTGCTTCGGCGCAATAGCCGCAATTCATACTTTGAGCATTGCATTCCCAAGCTCTGTGAGAAAATCCCAGACATCGATAACATTGAGTTATAGGCGATTGATCAATGGCCGGTACTACTTGGAAGCCGATTCTGATCTTTTGATCTTTGAGTTTTTTCCATATTTGTGGGTTTACCTCCAAGACTACGTTGCTTGTAGAGCTGGTGCGGCCTTTAGTTCTCCTAACTACTTTAACATGTAGTTGTGACGTTGCTACATCGTGCAGGAGAGCTCTATTCTGTTTTATAATAGCCTCTTCAATCTTCTTGTCTGTGAGGTCGAAGACCACGCCAATCAGTCGCAAAAGTGGGTTCTTTGTAGTCGGCCTGCAGGCTGTTAGATTGGCTGCAGTGCTCCTTAGTTTATCCTGAAGGATGTCTCTGTCCGTCTCAGACTCGCAACTAATGAGTACTTTTTGGTTCTTTGCCTTTTTTATATTACTAACGCCTATGCCCAGCTCGACTACGTCGATCCCGCTCTTAACCTGTTTTATTATATCTTCACTTGTGCTTCTCGGGTCAATTGATTCAACCAATATTGGGTAGTGTGGCTTTCTCAGGACTTCCGAGAAGGTGAGTGGGGGGTTCTATAATTATGCGATGTTGAGTGGTGTTTTTGTTCCTGATCATTAAGGTCTTGTGATTTGCATTTATGTTCTGAAAGATCTGCTTCCCCGACATATAACTGGTTTTTCAGCTCTTTCCTGAGGCTTTCTATTGCTAGTCGGATTGGGGCTGCTGAGTCCACTGTGATATCTCGTAGCTCTCTGTTTTCCCTTCTGAGTTCTTCTAAGTTTGCTTGAACCGAGGGCAACGGAGAGTTAGAGGAAGCGACAGTTAGTTCTTTGATGTCTTTGGACATAGAGTTAATTTCCTCTCGTATTTCGGCTACTTCCGCATTTAGTTGCATTCTCAGGTCAACAACTTGCTGGTGGAGTAGTTCAGTTTTTCGGTGTTGTTGTTCCACACTCTCCTGATCGCGAAAATCTTGTGTAAGAGGACTGCAAGGTGGCTGAGTAGATTCCTTCCTCAGACCGTATTCGTTGAATACTCGACGAAGTTCTCTCAGCTCTTCAACAAGATGAGTAGAGTCTGATTCTTGTCGAAATTGCTTCAAAAGAGAGTCAATGTTACCTCGAAATAGTTTAAATTCCTCCGTTAAGGCTTGGATTTGATCCTTAATGGGAGGACCTGTGGATATTTCGTTTTTTACGTTCACAACCTCTCTTTTTGTTGCGGTGACAGCCTCACAAATGTCGTAAGACAGTATTAATCTGGTGGATTCCGTTTCCTTCTGTAATTTCTTAATGTCTTCTTTTAAGAGAGCATACTGTCCTAAGGTTTCGTGCATGAATCTCGCGTGTCTTTGCGTGAGCCTTTCGGACTCGCGGGAAGTGTTCAGTTTCTGCTTGTTAGATTCAAGCATGTGCAGCATTCTTGAATCAGATAGTTTAAGGACCATTTCGTATAATATGTATAGCCCCGACACGACACTTTCTCGAATTTCTCTTTTTAAGTTGCTAGACTTTTCTAACTCTGCCTTAGTTCGCTGGAATATTTCGTTCGCATGTCTGGGCAACTCATTTAGTAGCATTCGATTTCCTCCAATGGATCGTGGAGGCGTCCAGAGAGGTGTTTGTGTCTCCGCTGTCGACGTCCGAGTCAGCGGTATCCTCCGTCTCGGACACGGCTTTTAAGGCGTCCCTGGATTCAGCAGCTTTCGCTTGTCTTATTTGTGTACGTATCCGAAGAAGACTCGAGCCTGGCCTCGCAAGTACTGGAGAGGACGTTGTCGCTTCATCTAGGTTGGGCGATGACGAGAGCAGGTCTGGAGTGTCTGATTCTTCTACCGCCCTTTCATCGCGTGCTCCTCCATGGGCACTTCCTTGAAGTTCAACGGTCCCCTGTTCCGTGGATTCTACGGGCTTCCCATCGAGTGCCTGCAGACTCATCTGTTCTGATACTTTTATATCTGCGCTGCTTCGTTCAGAGTCTTTTAACTCTTTTGTGACTGTCTTCTTTTTTAGTGCTTGCGGTTTTCCAGAGCAGCTAGAAGTTGGTCTTTTCGATTTATCCGGCATTACGCTTCTTTCCACTTCGCTAGCCCTAGAAGAAGTGTGGGTGAAACGAGTGATGGAACTCTGTTTGGAGGTAAGGGATAGTACTTTAAGAGCCTTTTAGATAACCAAAAACTGCGATTAAATCGGCTTAGGTAGGGCGAAGTTACGAGTCTTTGAAAGTTTTCAAGATGGCGGATGACTTGGCCGGGTCGAGTGATTTCGAGAATAGCTTAAAATAATAGAGGACCGTTTGCCTTTGCTTCTGTTGAGAGCCGCGTTTAAATCCAGTCAACGGTTCCGAAGTTATAACGAGTTTTGTTTTTGCAAGATGGCGGTCCAAGATGGTGGTCGATATTTTAAAAAGGGTATATTTCCCTCTTCAGTTATGACAAAATAGTCGTGTTTGGGCTTGTTCAAAACGTCTTTGCACTAACTATTTTATTCTATCGCCAGTTTGTGTGATTTTTGGCGATTGGGGTTTTTGATTCCAGATTATTTAGCTGAGAAATTAAAGGTATAATAACGAAAGTCTCACGCTTCTGTGATTAGCGGTTGCTGAGATATGAGCCCTAAAAGATATCCAATATGGCGGACGAAATAGGAAAGTAATAAATCCTTATATCTCGGTAACGGGAGGTGGTAGGATAGTCGTGTTTGGGCTGTAACTATGTAGAATTTCACTACCAAACCATTGGTGATATTTTGTAAGGGAAGAATTAACATGTACTGAAATTTCCTGAAAAAAAAACACTGAAAATTAAATAACTTTCTGGCGAAAGGTGATAGTAGCGTTCTGAAAACGAACTCCTTTTTGGTTCTTAGTGCTGCAGGATTGTGCTGTGAAAGAACTATCGCCAGCCTGTAGGAACATAGAGCCTGTCTTAGTGTTCTCAGGAAAATTCTAATATTTAAAAAACTTTTCGCTCGAAAAAATCCGAAACCTCGTAAACAGATTAGAGGTTAGTATTGCGACTATTTTATAAAATAAAAATGATAAGTCGTCGATTCAGATAACTCGCAATTTACAGGTGAATTTGAATTAGTGTTAATAATTTTGCGTTTTTGGCTATATCTTCTAGAGTACAATGCCAATTTATGTGTAGCCAACACAAAACGTCGGTTTAAGTGTGTGCTATGTTGATAGGTATTCAAATTTAGCCGCACGACTGCGGTTTAAATTTTTCGTGCCACGTGGTTTTTCAGTTTTCGCCCAATAACTCGAAAATTAATAAGCGAAAAAATCCACAAATCACGCTATATTATAGAACTTTCAGAGTGCCACAAAAATAGATATTAAAATCAGCAGGTCGTCGATCTTAAATCAGCGGCGTACGCAATTTTATGTAAAATTTTAAGTAAAATTTTACCTGTTATGCAGTACCACCGGTATGTTTTGCTGAAATATCCCTGTGACACTTTACTTTTCACAACTGACACAATCACGGGCACAAAGAATACACAGAACTGCACAAAACAACGCTTGTTTCACCGATATTGGATATCTTTTGCCTATTTTTCGGATTTTTCAAGCGCGGAGCAACACGAAAACGATGCGTCTCAAACTACCGTCTTTTACGCTACCTTACCTTATTGTTACAAATGTCAGATTGAAACTGCTTGCGTTGCAACATCAAAAGTCCAATTTCAAATCGACCGACATACCGTGAAGCCAAAGTGAACGCTGATTCTTTGAGATCATTTTGTGATAAGCTATTTTTTTAAATGAACTTTTAATAGGCTTACTTTATGACTTTAAAGTTTATGACCAATAAACATTCATTTCACCCTACAAAAATACGTAAATGTAATAAATGAAATGTACAAAGTACATGATATGGCACTTACTATGGTATGGTATGGAGGGTAGGTTGTTCTGTAAGAGCCAGGAGGATCAGGAGGGTAATCAAATTTGTAGGGAGAAAAAAATATATAAATGGTTTCTTAACTAAAAAACTGGTGGTAACAAAAACAAAAACAAAAAACTCTACAAAGCTTGGCGCGCTCAGCAGAGCGGGACAGTATTTCATACCGGAATACCGCCTGCAACTGTACAAGGTGCAGGTGCGGCCTCACATGGAATACTGTCCCCATCTCTGGGCTGGGGCTCCCCAGTGCCAGCTCCATCCATTTGACCGCATCCAGCGCAGAGCGGCTCGAATCGTCGACGGCCGAGTGCTTTGCGATCGCCTCGATTCACTGGTGCTGCGAAGAGATGTTGCATCTCTTTGTATTTTCTTTCGTATCTACCACGGGGAGTGCTCTGACAAATTTTTCTTGCCTATCCATTAGTGTCAATCGCAAAATAAAATAATGGTTACCTTATCAGAAGATGCATGTTATCAATAATTATTTCACATTTCTGTGGTTTAGTTGTAGGAAGATTAATCAAGTACTCCTTTAAAAACACTTTGGCTATTATGAAATCAAGAATATGTAGAAATTTAATAGAATTTTTATTAGTTGACATATCTTTTTAATAACTAGTAGATAGCTCCTGAAAACCTTACAAATAACGACTAGCGCGGAATTTTGCTCAAACACGCACCTTAATAATTCACACACGTAATAATTCCCATTTTTTATACCCAACTCTATAGAAAATATAGTCGCGGCAAACAGTGCCATCTGTTATTAGATGTATCTATGTATCTACACTTACATCTAGTAGGCGTGAATCTAATTTCATCTATGGCGTTGTTCAAGGTTTTTAGCTCTAGTCAGCGTCTTAATGCTTAAACCCACTAGCAGCACAGAATAAATAATAGTAGCTACTACAAGCAGGATGGAACCCTTTTAGATCTTGGTTAGTCTAACAGCGAACTTGCGGCCGGTGACTAGATTAACTTTACTTAGTTATTTGTGTGCATTGCATTTATTCGTTATCATTAGAAATGTAGTGTACAGTAGGACAATGTCGTCGCTCGTGATAACTGAGGTACGCAAATAACCTATTATGTCTTCAACGATAAAATCATTCATCATGTCTATTACGAATACTGTTTTCATCGTTGTGCTAGGAAGAGAAATTAATTATTTGACAAATGACGCAGAAATATGTTAATTTTTGTCGTTTTTGTAATGCAGTGTTGCGGCTGCGGATGTATGTGAAAGTGTTTCCGTGGTTCTACCGATGTGATAAAAAAAGACGAAACACCATAGGTTTTTAGTAATTTTAGTTTCATTTTCGGAAAAATGTGATCAAAGACTGCAGCAGTCTTACGTCAGGTGAACTGTTGGCAAGTTTATCAGTATAATAATACAAAAAAGCTTATGAAAGAAACTGTAACTTTAACTTTAACTATTAAATAAAATATGCAATAAAAAAAAAACACACACACACACACACACACACACATATGTATGGTCGTATCAAGCAAGGAGTTCCAAAGACGTGTAGCCTGAACTGGGAAGGAGTTACTATAGAACTCGGTAAAATGATGTTAGAAATAAAAACCTATCTCGAGATGAGGAGAGATAGTGAAATTTACTCTTAAGATAAGAAGGAAAAGATGTGTCGTTTAATATGGAAAATAGAACAAGCAATATTCTACAATTTGCGCCTTTGCCGGATTGTAAGCCAGTTAATCTTAGATCGATATTGCGAAATATGGTTATACTTAGGAAAATAAATCTTATAGAGTTAGTTATTAAGAAGGCGTTCCAGCTTATTCAGAAGATCTTAGGACAGATTCGGGTAACACACTTCTGCTCAGAATAATTACTGCATTGCAGTTACAGTTACAGGCTTATGAGCAGATTATGCAATTAGTGCAATACATATATGAATTGAAAGCGTCGCAAACTCAAAGTCTGTTCAATGAATAAATATAATATGAATCTTCTAAAACATTGTCACCCTCTAAAACAATCAATTTGACTGGTTTTGTCACATCAAGAACAGCAGAAAGGATTACTTGCAGTAGAAGAAAATTAAAGAAAGACATAAAAATTAATAAATATGTTAGGAAAGTGCAAAAGTTAATTAAAACTAAAATTAATATAAAACATTATATAAATGTAATGAAAGGCAAAAATTCATTAATTAACTTAAATTATTAATTTAATTGAGGTGGAAGATATGAAAAACTGATCAGACTGAAATAGAGTGTCTCAGTTCAGAAGTTTTATTACTCCCTACAAATTATATCAAATAAATATGCATCGGCTCAGGATGAGATAAAAGAATACATATTGGCCATGAATGATCATGTAAAGTATAAACATTGCCATGACAAAGAATATAAACTTAAAAAGTAATTTAGATATTAAAAACATAAAGTTATTATGTATTGTGATGGTATAATTTAGGCATGATGTTAAAGATTAGTAATTATTGCGTGCCTGGAGCGTACTTTAGTCATATAATGAATAAGCTCCGCTCTTTGTATCCTTTTTTTTTCTAAAGGGACGCAATAAAGTTCTTAAAATAAAATAAATAAATAAAGTTTCAGCTAGAAAGTTTTGTGCCAATAGCAAATTATTAACTCTTATTGGGCTTATATATAACTATATTAAGACAACGTAAAAAAAACCAAATATTAAAATGAATTGATTACCTAAAAACTTTAAATGTACATAAAATTATCTTGTTTACATTGACTTACATATAGGGTTAGCCACAGGAAATCAAAATAAGATATGATTTAAATTTATTAATGAATAATTTGTCATGTAGCTATAATTTAAATTCGACATTTAATTGTAACAATTATAATAATTGTTATTGTATGACTCCACAAAATAATAATAGAAATTGTGTACACCTGGTGCATCAAAATACACAAGGCATAATAGGCAAAGAGCTATAAATTGAAATGTTTTTAAATAACAACAACATTCATATTTTATGTATTACTGAACATTGATTAAAATCTTATAACTTAATGTTTAACTTCAGTAATCACCAGGTGGTCAGTTCTGTCAATAGAGAAACGCGATTTTTTTCCGCGTACGACCTCCCTGTGGAATAATTTACCACCGGCGATTTTTCCGGACCGATACGACCTGGGGACCTTCAAGAA